GGAAAACCTGCAAAGACAATATATATAAATTGAAATTTGCTGATTGCATAAGTATTCAGTCCCTTAACTCAGTACTTGGTTGAAGTACCTTTTGCAGCAATTACTGCTGTGAGTCTTTTTGGATCTGTCTCTACCAGCTTTGCACGATGGGATGGTGTAAGTTTTGTCCATTCTTTCTGGCAAAATTGCTCCAATTCTGATATATGAGACTTAAGATAATTCTTTTTCAGTAATGGCTTCTATATTGCCACATTCTTCTTTTGAAACCACTCCAGTGTGGCTTTGGCCTTGTGCTTCGGGTCATTGTCCTGCTGAAATGTAAATTTTCGACCCAGTTTTAGATTCTTGGCTGACTCAAATAGGTTTTCCTCTAGGATTCGCCTGTACTTTGCACCATTTATTTTCCCCTAAATCCTGACAAGCTTCCCAGTCCCTGCTGATAAGAAGCATCCCCATAACATGCTGCTGCCGCCATCATGCTTGACAGTTTGAAAGGTGTTGACTGGGTGATGTGCGGTGTTGGGTTTGCAACAGACGTAACGCTTTTAGATTTAGACCAAAAAGCTCAATTTTTGTCCCGTCTGACCACAAAACCTGCTGCCACATGTCTGCACTATTATTCACATGCTTTGTCGCAAACTCCAAACGAGATTTAAGATGATTCTTTTTCAACAATGGCTTCTTTCTTGCCACTCGCCCATGCAGGCCAACTTTGTGTAGGGGCCGGGATATTGTCGATATATGAACACTGACTCCCATCTCAAGACGTGGAACTTTGCAGATCTTTCAAAGTCACTGTTGGCTTCACAATGGCATCCCTAATCAGTTTCCCGCTTGATCAACTGCTTAGTTTGGAAGGGCGGCTGATCTGGGTAGTGACTTGGTGGTGTGAAGCACATTCCACTTCTTAATAATAGACTTCACCGTACTCAAAGTGATGATCAGCGACTTTGAAATTTTCTTGCAACCTTCTCCTGATCTGTGCTTCTTTATCACTTTATCCCCGACGTGTTTGAAAACATACTTTGTCCTCATGGTTAGTTTGTCGTAACACTATGTGTGTTGTGGTTTGAACAGATGCATTTACTCTGAAGTCACATAAACCACTTTGATTACAAACAGACTAAGACCATTACACTAGTTTTGTGACCCTTCAATCTAATCTTTTGCACCTGATCTGATTCAGTTCTGCCGTAGCAAAGGGGTTGAATACTTATGCAATTGAGAATATTCTAATGTTCTTTGAAAATCTAACTTACTTACATAATATCGGCGTTTTTTAGCTTTCTCAGTTTGCTGTAGATTGTGTAAATTCTAAATATAAGGTCTCATATGAATGTTTCATAATTGCAAACTCAAATTACCGCAAAATGTGGAAACTTTACAGGGGTTGAATACTTTTGCAATGCATTGTATTTTAGGAGTTCTTTGTAAAACTGTATCTTCAAATATGCACTATGACTATATTTATTTTACGAACCCCCTTTTAACGATTGGTAAATTATATTGATATATGTACAGAAACAACCAAAATATTCTCTAACTTCACTGTGTATAGCATTTATATAAATATTTGTTTTACAGTCATATGAACCGCCTAAAACTATAAAAAATACTAAAAGTATTGTGCAAGGTCATTTGCGAATATCTTTAATTAACATAATTGTTATGAGAATCAGTAATAATTCGATACTGAAATAACAGAGTGAAATGAAAAATAACAACAAATAAAATATTTCATGATAATTTTTAAGGGTCATTTTGTATAATATGTTGATTCATTTAAATACCGTATCTCTGAAAAATTATTGAAATATGTTTAAAGACAAATTTGAAACACTCAACATTAAGTCATAAGGCTTTTTTTTTTTTGTAAAATATGCATTCGAAACTTCTCACAGCCTTTGACAGTTGGTTGTTTGTTCCATATTTCTAATACTGTTTATCGAAGTACTTAGGCATTTTAAATTGATAAATAACAATACAAAAAATAAAGCTTTGTTGGGAATTTTTAGTGATCCTTGTAAAGATAAAATACTTTTCATGCCGAGTCAGAACATACCCTCACTTCCTGAATCAATGTCCATAAAAATGTTTCAACAAAATTTTGAAGAAGTATTCTAATGGTATATCGGATGGAATACTTATTGCATCTGCCACTGAAGTATTATTGTTATAGCTAACTTCGGATCTTATAAATAAGAAACCACGAATAGGCTTACCATTGTATTTTTGTTCAATATTTAGCATAAATAGTAAAAAAAGGGCTATAAAAATAACTGACTCTTGGAGAAAGCGTTACCGATTATTATGGTCTTCTATTAGAATTAGAATCTTTAACACTAACCTACCCACGCTCTGTGGTTTCTATTTGATGTAAATAAATTTCATAAAACACCTTTAAAAAAGTACGTCTACAAAAACCAAAATTGTGTCATAATTAATATGTCGCACCCCGTTAGTTTAACGGTAAGCTTGAGAGCTTATACCACTTTGACATTAAACTTTGAGGTTCGATCCGTGCAGTGAGCACATCACAGAGTATCTTTTATGTAGCTTTGCGCTTAATAAATTGATGTATGTACTACAAATTACATACCAGAATATATATACATTCAATGCAGCAATATTGTTTATACACAACTTTAGTTAAATATATTTATTTTAAAATATATTTTTAACAAATGGAAGAAAATCACTCAATTAATAAAATATATTTCTAAATTACGCTATATCATGCTTTTTGTATATTGCTTTTTTAAGAAAATTAATCGGACTATTTAATCTTTTATGTAGAGGTACAGCATAAAGATATAACATATGGTCTATAACATTTTCGTGTTTCATCAAAAGTAGTTGATTTGAGAGAAACTATATAAAAAAAAGAACTTTAAAGATCCAATTTCAAGTGGAATTACTGTTTATTGTGACAGAAATAATGAAATCAACTATTTCACATTAGATGAAAATTTTATCATTTACTTTTTTCCAACGGTTTCCCGCCAACTGCAGCATTTATAATCGACCCAAATTTCCTTTCCATGACGTTATTACACATGCGTAGGAACGTTTCTGTATTGCCGCCATCATGGAAGCTTTAAACTAACAACGCCCTCAAGCGTTAAAGCTTGTATGAGAAGGTAAGGCTCGTTTTATATTAAACGAAGCTTACGCGTTTTTGTACTAAATACTATCGGTTGTTGACACATAACCAAAGAAATGTGTATCTTTCGCTGGGTCAATGCGTTTAAGTTAAATCTGTAGTGTGCCTTCTTGCGGTACCGAACTTCTGAAGGTCGGTACAATCAGCACGATGTACGGCTCATAACGACAGTTCCTTCCTCCATCAATAACGACGCCACCGCAGTGCAGAGGGCTGAATGCATCGTTTATGGATAGAGTGGAAAAGCTTGCAGCGCCGCGGTGTCTGTTGTGGGAAATGAAACCTTTAACGTATCTAAGTGAGTTAACAATTAAGTAGTTTTCCGTAACATATCTTGTGTTATTTGCAAGAAATATATACTTGCATACTTTACCTATAACTCTGCCATTAGCGACATCATGAGCTTCCAAGCACACTCATGATTTGTTCCGCCATAACGCCGTTGTGCTGTTTTTTAAGCGCAAACGATATTTTTCAATGCTAGGCAACATGTCGCTTGATACTTTTATTAGTTTATGACTAGATGGCGCTAAACTTAGGCAGATGGCGCTTATTTGTGTTTCTTTAAAGAGTTAAGAATGGGAGTGGATGTTTACTGTTTCCTTTTGAAGAATTTAAGGTGTGGATTATACGAAGTTTCTAAAGTAAAAGTGAAGGGTCATAGACCGTCTTGTAATGTGTGTGTATCAATGAACAAATGCTGGTTACACCATGTTTCCTTTAGCTATCTTTGTATCTTATGTAGTCTGTGAACTAAGTGAATCTTGTTCAAATTCAGTGATTAGAACTTCACACACACACACACATAACTAGTAATTAAAAACTTCACCATTCTGCAACATCCTTGTAATTCAATTATTGAAATATATTTATTCATTTTAGAAAAATAGTGTACTGTACATTGTTTTTAATTAATAATGCATAATCACAGGCTACCTACTGTACTTAGTATTAGTAATCAAATTTATTAAAAGTAGCCTCTATTTGAGTCACCCAGAATTAGTTCAATTTAAAAATCAATTATATGATTAAACCAAATTTGATTATAACATTTAACAGTTCTTCTTGTCTTCCACTCAGTTTAAACCTTTGTTTCATAATAATATTGTAAGAATATCACACAAATATAGTTGAAGAGAGTAGATAGTTTTTAAGGCTGTGATTTAAGTGTGAGCTAGTTTAATGAAAAATTGATATTCAGTACGTGACAGAGTTCTGATTTGGGTGTTCTAGAATAGTAACCCATAGTTTTCAGGTAGAGCTAAATCTGCCCCATTTTGCTCTGAATAATTTGTAGAGTAAAACTCTATTGATGTGAAGTTTTAAGGGTTTTAAAAATATAGGAAAGTAAAGTGAAATGAAAGAAGGAAAAGGATAAAACATTGACTAACTTTTAGATCTTGCAACATATGTTTACCCAGTTTGGTTCCCACTATGAATTAAGCCAGGTTGTCTGTGTGTGTATTGGTAGATTATTAAAATTTGTTTTTACACATCTAGTAAGTATCGTGACAATAACCCTGAGGTCTTCATCGTTAATAACCAAAGTATCTTTATAATGGATAAATCTTTATTTCACATTCACTCATTATGTCTGTTATGCACTCTTAATGAATATGAACTTCATTTCAGCTAGTGGTAAAAGTCAGAGTAAATATAATATCACTAAATGAACAATTTAGTTAGGAATATCTTTTAAACAGCAGTTTTTAATCTATTTACTTACGAGTCTGATATATTAAAGGTTTAAAGAAAACAAGTGACTTTTTTTCTGTATGAAGTTTTCAATTTATTTTCTCGGTTAAGAGAGTAGCCAAAATATGGTAACCCCAATTTTTTTTTAAGACTAATATACACAAACTTATTGTTATTGTACTTTTTATAGTTCTTTTTGGTTACAGAGTTCTTTGTACAAAACTTGCAAATTCTCTTCCAATAGACTTTTAGTCTTTAAGAAACTTGATGCTGTGAGATGGACAGTCAAGGAAGAGGAGATTCTGATGCTGCCGAGGCAGAAACGATATCTGATATCCAGAACTACCTTGCATCTTTTAACAAAGAAATACAGAATGGAACAGCTTCAGCTGGAGAAACAGCAGTGTTCCACCAGATGCCTGAAGGAACCCACCTAGTGGCTGCAGTAACCAATCAAACTGGAATTGAGCCTAATGCAGAAGCAGCTACAACATACTATGTCACTCAATCAGCAGATGGCACTGCCCTGCAAGGTTACCATTATGACCCCAATACTCAGGTAGGCTCAAAAGTAAAACTTGTACTTAACTTTTGGTTGCTTGTATATGTAGCTGACCATTTGAATACAACTGGTCTTAAAATATTTCAATTTTCATGCATAGCATTCTACTAATAAATGGAAGAAAATACTTGTGACTGCTTTATACAGTTATATGTATCAGAATGGTTTTCACATAAAGCTTTGCTTATTGTTTTACATGATGATGGAAAAAAGTGTATATTTTGATAATTTTACAGTCTTCACTCTTTAAACTCCATTACTTTTATATATATGGATTGCACTATCTATCATCAGTTAAAAAACTAAACATTAGTATATATAGAGACTGAACTGTTTTGTATTATTTACTAGTTTACACAGGAACTAAATTGGGACTTCAATTTTTTTTAGTTTTTTTTAAAATACCAGTAAAACACTTAATGACTGCATTGATTATTATTATTTTCACATTTGTCAACTAATACACCAGATTTTGATCATTAGTGACTTGGATAAATGAGGGAAAAAATTCTGAATAAAATAATTTCTAGTTTGTTAAAAAGGAAACATAGAAACCAGTTTTGACCAGCCCTGCCAGTATGTTAGAATAGAACTTTGCCGAGTTTGGTTTCTGACACAGTAAATGTACTCAAATTGCTGTTTTTTTGGGTTTTTTATTTTTTTGTAAATGCTGTATAAAAGAGAGAAAATAAAATGGTTGAATTTATTCAATTCAATTATCTTATGTAATACATGATAAGCAAAAATGTAACATTATAATTTTTTTCTATTTACTTATAAATGTTTTCCTGAATTTTTCAGGAAGTCCATTGTTTTTCCTGTTAATTGTAAAGAAGTTTGTTGAAATTAATTCATTAGTCTCACTCTACTTGACCCCGATGAATGGAACATTTTATTAAATCATTTACATTCATGAATTACTTTCTAGCCAACTTGCAGTGGTATTAGGTATATGATCAATTGAAAATGCGCCACAAAATTAATATTGTTACGTCTCTTTTCATTTGTTAATTTTCCGTATAATTTATTTCCAATGAAACTTCAGTGACACAAGTCCTTTCTTAAATAAAACTAGTTTATTCCCTCTCAATACAACTTTGCAATATACTTAATTTCCACAGTCACTTTAACTTAAACACATGCTATAATTCACAACAATTCACGACTTTATTACCGCGCTTGACTCAATTGTTTATCTCTGTCTGTATGCAATTCAATTATCTTTCTGCCGTCACTTCATTTGCCAGCTTATATTTATATAAAAATAGAGGCCGCGTAGAAAATGCTAGAGTTGCCACAAACAGACATGATCTTTCTAGAATCTCATGACGTGCAACAAGTGTCACGTGACTTCCGCTGTCGTAACAATATTATGCCTAATCAGTAGGACTACTATGTGTGAAAAATTAAGTTAGGGAAATTTTAAGTCATTAACTAAAAGAAACCAAGCTGCATTTTTTTTTTATTAACAAATGCATCCATAATTATGTTTTGTTCACAATATGCTAGTTCTGGTGTTTTCAGTAACTTGTAAAATGATCCATGGTTAGGCTAGGATACTTAGATAAAGCAAGTAACAACATCTGTAATGCTTATTTGTTACTTCTTAGTTCCTTGTAACAAGGTTTATATTTATCATATTCAGGCCTTTAGAACTAATGAATACGGAAGTAAATCGGTGATTTGTGTGTGAGTTCATTTGAGGTTGGGATTCCATTAATATTTGTTTCACCGCATTTATGTATAGAAATTTGATTATGTATATGAATTGTAAAATTAAACACAAACTTCAGATAAAATATTAATTTGCTAGTCTGTTACAGAAATGAGTGCCAAACTGATAACAAAAAATTGAGAGTTAGTATGTTTGTTTTAAGAAATTATTTTTATGAATAAACTGGCTATGAGATTTTCATTTAATTTTTAGGTCCCAGAAAAGTATATGATTTTTATGAAGAGACTGGCTGTGAGATGTCATAAATTATAAAGACATACTATAGTTAGTACTGAAGTTTTGAACAGAAATAAATTACTTTTATGAACAGATTAGCTTTGAGATCCCATGCCATAAATTATAAGGGCATCATATAAGTAATACTATTTGAAATCTAGAGAAAAATAAATAAATGATTTTATGAATAGATTGGCTGTGAAATGCCATACATTATAACTGTAGATGCTTAAGTTTTAAACAGAAATATTATTTTTATGATCCTACTGGCTATGAGGTGTAGTAAATCATAAGGATCTTCTGTAGGTATTAATATTTTTAAGTTTTAGAGAGAGAGCAAAATTTTGTTTATAAGCTGGCTTTAGAATGTCATAAAGTTTTAGAATTAAGTATCAGTATAGATATTAGAAGTAACAAGTACATGTATAATATTTAAGTATTAGATTCATGATTGATAAGCAAACTTCTTTCATTCTATATCACACTATTATTTGAAGTAAGTCAGTAAATGGTTTAAGTATGTGCATGAAATATGTTGAATTTCTAGAAGCAAATATTTTCCAAATAAGTATTTGAATGGTATACAGGGATAACATTTATATTTTGAAAATTTGTGAACAATTTTGGGTCAGAGAAAAGGGGCAAGAATTAGGATGGAAAAGGGTAAAAGAAAGCAAAGAAAAGGTGAAATTGAAAAATGGGGAAAAATGTATTGATTCTGAGTTTTGTCACTCGAGCAGCAATATTATGGTACTTGTGATTCTTTTTCATTTTTTGAAGAATATTTACCTCTGGCATTACTCTGTATTTTAGTTTTCTACATAATTAATATATATTAACATCTTTTTTATGGAGAAGGCTAAATGACATTCACAACATTGTTGATCATCAGCTAACTATAATTGTATTTAGATTAATTACTAAACATTTGTGACTTGAATATCTCTGGACTGCTTTTGGTTTGGTTCCTGAGGTGGATGATCTTTTAATTTTTATTATTAGAACTTCTTCAGAATGTCAAAAACAACTTTTGTATAGATTATGAAGCATTATACATTTCATGAATTAATGCAAGAGCAGTCCTTCATAGACTACAATGGTTAGTTTTCTGAATTTATTTGCTCTCTTGAAAAACCAAGAAGGAACTATTCAACTTACATACTTGATTGTGAATTTTGAATTTCTATATGTTTTTTGGCTTGTAAAAGGTTTATGGAATATTGCATAATGTTCAGTTCTTGCATTTATGGAGTTATTATGTGTATATGGCATGATACATAGTTCTGAGGTAAATTTTTTATGGTTAATGTGTACATATACCATGATGTACAATCTTTTTTTTTTTTGGTAAATGTGTGATATGGCTAACTGACTGACTGAAGCTAAAATACAGTTTATTGTAATGTTTTTTTAACTTTTTTTTCCATTGCATTATATTTGTAACATTTTAAAATCAAATTTTTATATTTTACTTTAAGGGAAGGGTGGAATGGGGTTGGACTTGGAGCAACATAACCTGATTAGATTGAGTTAATATAATTCCTGGTTTTTCCATTTATTGTAGATTTGTAAAATGTATTTTGATTCATGTAATAAATTTTATTTGTACTTCTACTTTCTTTTATTGCTGTACTTTCATTGTTCAAATTACGTTGATTTTATACTAAACAGTATGGTTATTAAAATGTATGTTACAAGCTACAATATACATAAAACATCTGTTTTACAAATGTACTTTGTTTGTTTAATCCACCAGCAAAATAGTTTAAGGAAGTAGAGACATTTTTCATAACTGATGTAAAATTCTATACTTAGAAAATATTTGTATCCAAAATTATATCACAAAAACTTAAGCTTCTACATGTATGTCATACAACAGGAAGATATTTTGAGTGCTTACTAAGTGTCAAGTTTCATATTATATTTTGCACAGATTTGCTTTGCAGTTATTTTTTTTATCAAAGTACTTATATTGTTTTTATGCTTTTGACATGAGTTAGAATACAGAAGGTTGAGTACGTTATATTACAATGATTTTGAATATGCTAGTCACGTGCTAATCACTATCGATATAAAGTCACAGTTGAATCACGTGTATTAGAACTATATTTTGACATTGATGTTTCAGAAATTGTCTGATGCCACCAAAAATTTATCACTTTTCGAAAAGATGTGTAACACCTCTTTCTGACACAAAATATTCATACACTCAGATCATAAGATGTGCTCAGATCAAGTATTTAGAATTACCATGATGGTGATATCCATTGTACTTAATGGTATTGGAAAACAAAGGAACATGGATCAACTTGTGACACCAGTATCATCCAGAAAGAAGAGACCTGCAACAAGCCATATCCCAGCTGTGGTAAGCAAAGTGCAGCATCATGTAACAGGCCAGAATCTAGAATGTGCTTTGGACAGGACAGCCTTATGAAATGTCCTTTTGTAATGGAATCTATGCTGCTGGACTATTATCAAAATGCATGGTCATCAGATAGAGCATGACTCAGTGAGGCAACATGGACTTCAATGATGTGGTGAGGCTCCCAAATCATTTTAAAATAACGTATTCAACCTCTGTATACAGTGCCTTGCAAAAGTATTCACCCCTACCAATAATATCACATTTTGATGAAATACAAATAATGTAAACATTTTTTTAATGAACTTGTTTTTATTCAAAACTCTAATGATCAAACTTAACACTGTTATGTGTGAAGGTGGTTGAATGTCAGCAAACCTGCAAAGAAAATATATAAATTGAAATTTGCTGATTGTATAAGTATTCAGCCCCTTAAGTCAGTACTTGGTGGAAGCACCTTTGGCAGCAATTGCTGTTGTAAGTCTTTTAGATGGGTCTCTACCAGTTTTGCACAATGGGATGGTATAATTTTTGCCCATTTTTCATGGCAAAATTGTTCCAATTCTAACAAGTTCATTTGGGATCGTTGATGGACTGCAATCTTCAAGACTTGCCATAAATTTTATATATGATTCAAGTCAGGACTTTGACTGGGCCACTCCAAGACATTCACATTCTTGTTTTGAAACCACTCCAGTGTGGCTTTGGCCTATTGCTTTGGTCATTGTCCTGCTAAAATGTGAATTTTCAACCCAGTTTTAGATTCTTGGCTGACTCAAGCAGGTTTTCCTCTAGGATTTGCCTGCACTTTGCACCATCCATTTTCTCCTAATTCCGATAAACTTCCCCATTCATGCTGATGAGAAGCATCCCCATAACATGATGCTGCCACCACCATGCTTGACAGTTGAGATGGTGTTGACTGGGTGATGTGCTGTGTTTGGCTTGCACCAGATGTAACACTTTAAATTTAGACCAAAAAGTTTAATTTTTGTCTTGTCTGACCACAAAACCTTTTGCCACATGTTTGGAGGAAAATTTACATGCTTTGTTGCAAACTCCATACGAGTTTTAAAATGATTCTTTTTCAACAATGGCTTCTTTCTTGCCACTCACCCATACATGCCAACTTTGTGTAGGGACTGGGATATTGTCGATGTATGAACTCTCATCTAAGACATGGAACTTTGCAAGTCTTTCAAGGTCACTGTTGGCTTCACAGTGGCATACTTAACCAGTTTTCGGCTTGCTCAGCTGCTTAGTTTGGAAGGACGGTCTGATCTGGGTTGCGACTGGGTGGTATGAAGCACGTTCCACTTCTCAATGATGAACTTCACCATATTCAAAGTGATAATCAGTGACTCCTGATCTTGGTCTTCATGGTTGGTTTGTCATATCACTATGTGAATTGTGGCTTGAACAGATGCATTTACTCTGAAGTCACATAAACCACTTTGATTACACACAGGGAGAGATCATTACACTAGTTTTGTGACCTTTCAAGCTAATCATTTGCACCTGAACTTATTTAGGGTTGCTTTAGCAAAGGGGTTGAATACTTATGCAGTTGAGAATATTAAACTTTTCTTTGAAAATCTAGCTTATTTACATAATATCTGTTTTTAAGCTTTCTCAGTTTGGAGTAGATTGTGTAGATTCTAAATATAAAATCACATTTGAAAGTTTTATGATTGGAAGCTCAGATGACAACAAAATGTGGAAACTTTGCAGGGGGTTTATACTTTTGCAAGGTGCTGTATGTTGTCCTTGTTTCTATTTCAACTCTTCTAAGAGTTACAAGAAATTGAGGAACATGTTTACAGTAATAGAGGCAGGTTTTTTTCAAGCTGAATATTGTTATGTTATTTAGGCCCATTATGGGGCAGCAGCAGAAGGGGTTTACTATGCTGAGGTCCAAGAGGGAGATACAGCTCAGGGCCAATACACTGCAATCCCAACCTACCATACAGTGGATGGAAGTCAGGATCCTTCTGGTAACAAATCACAGGGTCCCTATTGTGCAGTTAGAGGTGGCGATGGACAACAGGTTGTGACTGAAAACCAGAGTGGCCTACAGCAAATTGTCTTGGCTGTGAGTGAAGCACAGGGAATGTCTGGAGAAGTAGGAGAACGAGAAGCACGAGAGATTTCTGTCACCATCCCAGCTTCTATGACAGGACAAGTACATCATTGCATTTATCTAAAAACAACCTTATATTTCTAAGTACTAGAGGTTACAGTGTTTAAATTATTTTTCCATAATGATATTATTTCTGTTATAACAGCATTTAACCCTATTAGTACCAGTGTACACCTTTCAGGTGTTGAGTGCTCACCTTCAGGTCAAATGTGAAAATTTAAGTGACAGAATATTATTATTATAACTCTATTCCAACAATATTTTACTTAGAAATGTTTAGAATTGATGTTTTGTCACAAAGAAAAAATTCCAAATTTTTATTTCTGTACAGCTCCAAGGAATCTCTTGTCTGTAAACAACCCATTTAATCAATTTTTTTGCACATCCCAAAATTTAGGTTAATATTTGCTAAGAAACTATCACTTGAAAATGCAATGATTCATATCATATTTATTATATGATTTTCCTTCTCCATCGGCACTTTTTTTTAACTACAGCCCTTCATTGCCACCCTTTTATTATATCATAGTATCTGATTTGAATAATTACTGAAGAAGCTCAGTTTTAAAAACAGAAAATTTTTATTATAGTTTCTTTTGATGTTCCTTTTCTTCCCAAAAATGTTTTTATCCTAAACTGTGTTTATGTGAAAGCTGCAGGAATTTTCTTTTATGACAAAACATTAGATTTAGTTATGTTTAGCAAGAGCAAGTACAGTAACTGATGGAAAACTTCAGATGATTCTAATTCTTTTTCATCGAATATTGTTTATTGTTTCAAACAATACACAGATGAAACGACTTACTGCTTGTTGAAAACAAATTACATTTATTAAATACAAATTGATTTCAATTAAGAATATTGTTTGCAATATCACATTACCTAGCCTGACAAAAGAAACAGGGATGCCATTTTGAAAGGAGTAGGTGTTGGTTACCAGTAACTCTCTGTCAGTTTTTTTTATGGTTGATAGCTACATGTGGTGAATGATGTAGTCAGAAAAATGTACTATCAAATATCTTAATAAATATCAAACAATTTGAAATAGACTGGGTGTATAAAATGGAACTTCTGATCAGTGAATGAAAAAGTTGTCATTCTAAGATGAAAAGATGCATTTTAATGTTTTTAAAGTGTCTCACAACCAAATTTGTGAAATTCACAACCTAAAAAGTAATAGTTGTCCTAGATAAAATTATGTTATTGTTTTAAAGCAGTGACTATTTCTACTAAGTTTAATGCAACTTGGTTAAGTATTTCCTCTATGACAAGGGGGATATCAGGGATGTCCCCCCAATCTAGTAGAGGTTACTCTTAACTTTCACAAAAATGATGCGGAAATAACTTAGTGAGTTTTACTTATAGAGTTAATCATGTCAAACGCTGTTATGTTGGTGTAATTTAATGATTTTTAATAACTAAACAGTTCACAGTATTTCTTAAACCAGGCAGTAAGTGAAAAAGAGCAGAACCCAGATTCAGTGTAAGGATTATAAGGTACAATAAAATTTGACAGTTAACACTCATTATAAGAAATATGTTCTGATATTTAATGTAGTGATTGCCAGTGATGATAATATACTATTGCATTCCTCTTGTTTCAGGAAGTGTGTACAGAAGATGGTGTTACTCATATCAGTATTGCTACTTACCTGTCCACGGGACAGATAGGTAACATCTCATGCCACTTCCAAAAGGTTTTAATGCATGTACCAAGACTTTGAACGAAACTCTCATTCCTAAAAATAATAGCATATACTGTGCTAGTATATGGTACAATATCAGCATTAAACTATACCCTACCATCAGTAGGAGAGTGCAGTACTCTCCTTGAACAATTTGTGTGTACCATAAACTCATTCTTTTCCTTAACATTGCAGTGTTCAGTCATATTCTTTTTGGATTGAGAATTATGAAGTTTTTGTACTTTTTATTTTCAACATTTAGTTAACATCTGAAGTGTTATCTTTCTTGCCTTCATTCTTGGTTTCGAGAATGAAAGATACAAATTTCTAATTTGATTTCCATTACAGTTTCTGATACAAATTGTTATCTTGTATTACTGTGATTTTTTCTTCAAATCAAACTATGAGATTTTGGAGCACATGTTCCAGGGTTTGTCATATGTTTTTTTAAAAGAATATCCCGACTGTTATTAACCTAGTGTCCAGATTTTGACAGAAGCTGATAATTAATCTCAGTTTTGTCAATATGAAAATGGTCAGGGCATAAGTACCATGGATGTACCAAACTTAATGGAAAAAACAAATGCATAAATATTAATAATACAAAACAAAAAATTAATAAAAACAAATAAATATCAATATAACCAACACCATAGAAATAATAATAATATTAATATTTTTCATAACTTCAGTTTCATGGATCTTATGCAATACAACTCCTCATATCCATGTTTCTGAAACCTCCTGACACTAGATTTTTTTCTCCATTTTTCTTAAATCCCAACTCGAGTTGTTCTGATGGTGAGCAATGTTACTGTCATTGTACATCACTTGGTTGGTTCTATCTTATATTTTTCATCTCACACCCAGGATTCACAGCCTTGTGCTTCTGTAACTTCCACTGAGTCTGCTTTATCTTTGGATGACTTTGATAATCTCTTCCTACAATCTGTCTTTGCTTTTGGTTCTTCTGCACTTACCATTGTCCTTTGCTTCTCTAAAAACTCAGGTAAGTGAAATACGTTCACTTATTGCAGTTGTTTCTGCTGTTTCTCGGATGAACTTCTTGCATCTCAGTTCTAAGATTTCCCCCTCACACACACACAACATTTCCATTACAGAAATCTTAACTTTGGAATTTGTGTGTTAAATTATTTCATATTTTTTCTTTTTCTGCTGTATGGTGATTCTCTGTTGCCATGTCCTCCATAAATTTAAAATTTTCTATGTGGTCTGTTTTTTGGAGAGTTATTCATCTTTTTTTTTAGTGTTCTTATCCATTGAATCTCTTCTCCAAGTTTGGGGATTTTTTCTTCTCCTACAGCTTTATTGGAGATGTTGAACTAATCTATCCACTTGCTTTCTTTGTTACTGGACTTAGACTCCCTCAATTTTATCTCGGGGAGGGAAAACCATTTGGCACCCTTCCTTCATGCAGAAGTTTTCTGAGGGGTTCCTACTCCAATAGAATCTTCCTGGTACCCCACCCAAGAGGCCAACCATCATGGGGATCAGTGATCAGTTGTTTGTGGAACCAACTTTCAGCTTTAGTTCTGTGGGAGCTTGGTTCTTACAATATGCCCACCTATGGACTCACTTTGTGGAAAACCCTTGGGTCACACTGGTTTTCTCTTAATAGTTTAGTGGTCTTTCAGGGCTCACACCTGACAGTTTTCAACTAAGTTATGAGGGTTTTCACATGGAGAATACACTTGTTGGGTCTACATTTCAGACACTGAGCATATCCTAGCTGGTTGGTCATGCTCCAAAGTCATTATTGACTCCTATTCAGTAACTGATTCATTTGGGATTCCTTATAATCTCATTTACTGGGTTGGCTCAACCTTCTTAACATTTCAATAATATGGAGCTTTTGGTTTTCAAGGCTATCATGTCTCTTTATTTTCCTATGCTTGAAGGTTCTCTCACTTTTTGGGACTCTTGTTTTTCTCATGTCCTATGATGTCCTCATCAGTGCATTCTGGCAGATCAGTAGAATATGCCTTGGGATCCACCATTTTCTCATTTCTCTGCCACCATCTCTTTATATGTATGTGGCTTGAACATTTCCACATAACTCAAAGCATCCATCTTCCTCCACCCTGCCCGTGCTTACACCTGCTCATGGATACCTCTGTGGGATGCAGCTCTGAATACCTTAACTATTTTTGATGTTTGGTCTCCCAAGGAATGGTGTTTCCACATTGACATCCTTGAGATGTGGGCTGTACAATGGGCCTGCCACCATCTTTTACTACAACTGTTTTGATCTATTCTAACAACTTCACTATTGTTCCTTAGATAAACTGACAGGGAGGTGCTCACTTTTTTGAGCTCCTCTTTTGGGCTCACAACAACATCATCTGGTTTTTGTCCATCCACATTCTAAGAGCTTTAAAATTAGTGGAAAATCTGACAATGGCCCTTACACAGGGATGGGAGATTTCCATTTATAGACGATTTTCAGTCTTATGAATTTTGGGGAAACCATGAAAATTAAAAAATATTATATGTAATTTTATAATGCACCAGTAGGTGCCTAATGTCATTTCTGTTCTCATTTATTGTCCTTTTTTTATACCTAAATTGGCATTGACTGCATGATAAATGGTTCATCATGCTGGTTTTCTTGAAATGCAGAAATGGCACAGTCTTCATTTATGAAGAAATATTTTTTTAAGTAAACTATATGAACACTGGGTATGAAAACTGACATTCCTTTACTGAACTTTTTTTAATGTGTGTAACTTCTGTCTGAATTAGGAAAGCAATGATAAAAAGGTCCTTTATAATCACCATATGAAAGACAAACAGCATGTCATATTATTCTTGGCAAAGCTGAGTAACCAAACCTTTCAAGGTGCTGAGCCACAGTGCCTAGTCGTATCATAGAGAACTTGGCTAAGAAAAAGCAAAACAAGAAAAATTAAATATAAAATAAATATAATTCAGACAGCAACTTCAAAAACAATATTTTAAGTTACCAGAAAATCAACAACAGCCCTTCCGAAAACAAGGCTATTCTGCTGAATCAAGTATTGAAATCCAGAAAAATAATGACAGAAACATCCTAGAGAAAACTGTTTTTACTGAGGAGTCCACTGTCAGTTTGTCAAATACCACTGCAAGAAATACAAGTGAGGAGTCTGGGAAAAAAGTATAGAGCAAGCAGGGTTATCTTTATGAAGTGTTGAGTAGTTACCAACCAGTTCAGTGAAGTACAAAAAGTGAAGGATATCCTCAGTTATGGACTGGATTAAGAACATAAGAAAGGTTACAAATGAGAGGAGGCCATTCAGCTCATCTTATTCAGTTATTGACCCAAGAATCACTTTAAGTTATTTCTTAAATGATTCCAAAGACTCAGCTTCAATAACATGGCTGGGAAGTTTGTTCCAGACACCCATTACTCCATGTGTAAAGAAATGCCTTCTATTATTGATTCTAAATGTATCTGCACTTAATTTCCAAATGGCTGTAATCGGGACTGTTTTAGATTATATTTACAGGAGCAGAAAGCTCTTGTGTATAGCCTGTTTTTGTTTTAAGAATTTTGAAAATTATATTTGCACTTTTTGAACAATTGAAAGGTTCTTTGCAATTACTGTGCATAATGTGTATTTGTTCCTGTAGGTATTACATGCATCCTTGTTTTGTAATTGTAATGCAACTTTTAAAATATAAACAAGTTAATAGTTTTGACTCTCTCTGCTGAACAGCCTACATTTTCAGTCTTCACTACTTTACTATACTTCCACCCCTGCCATAGTTCTTGGTGTTTCTGCAGGCTTGTACCTACTTTGAGTGCCCTCTTATTGATGCATTTGTGACTCTCCTCTAAACCAAGCTTCCATTTTTCTTGTTACAAGTCCCAGGTTCATGGCCCTGGATATTCCCTTTGGGTCCTGATTAATTCACCCTTTTTCTGTATGGGCCTATCCTCCTCATTGACTTCTTCTGCCTATAATTCACAGCACCACCTGTCAGGTTCTTCTCATTGTTCTCTTTTGCCAGTTCAGTTGTGATTTTTGCTCCTTTGCCTCTTGGCAATCCTGAAGCCTCTGTCATCTTGGAGGTACCTTTTTCAGTCAGCCTTCAACATCAGTCTTTCATCATGATGTTTTGTGCCATAATTTTCATATGTAATTTTTATCTGTTACATTGTAAGATGGCAGGTTTTTCTCATAGAGTAGCCCATTTCTTGCTTACAGTCATCGGCCATCCACCCTTGCAGTTTATCTCTGCAAATGGATGGTTTATCAATACTGGTCCATTTGCCACTACCTTCATCAAGGTTGATTGATTCTTACTCATCTCACTTCCTTTTATACCTGGCTTTTTGAGGTTGATCTATCCATATACATGACTGCCAGTTAAAGAGCAACTTTGTTGATGACTTTCCATCTTTTCTTTGGCCAGCCTTCTTTTTTTTTCTCTGGTTGGAGATGTCATTCTTATATTTTTGCTTTGGATGCCTCACTTACTTTTTACCACAGGGACAGGCTGATTTTATTCCCAGGCTGTTCCTACTTCCCCAAGAGTGTGATCAGATGTTTCTCCCTTCTCTTTCTTCTATGTATGATCTTTCAAACCTCGTTCATCTCCCTTGTTCTATTTTGGAAGTTCACTGTTAACTCATTTGCACTGCTTCCTTTGAGGCAGTCAACATTATCATCTTTCTGTTTTATTTTCCTTAATGTGAATTCCTGTACATGGTGAGGACATCTCCCATGGAAGGTTTTGTTTGTACAGTTTATCTTTTCTGGGATCCAATGCTATCACTAAATAACTTCTTACTTCTGTTGCAAACAGCCTATAGGTTGATGACTTTCACATTTCTTGTCAGTCATTGAATAAGAAGTTTATTGAGCAGCAAGCTTCACTTTTCTCTTTCGCTTATTGGGGTGGACCAGAGTAAATGGTTACACCTTCTCCTCTTCTAAAACCATTTGCTTACATTTTTACTGCCAGATCTGCAACCTGATCCAAAGCTCTATCTTGGTAGTGATGTTCTTCCAATGGTGGCTGAGATAAAGTTCTGAGGACTTCTTTTTCACTGGTAGCTGACATTTATTCCTCACATTAAGCAGTTTTGTGTCAAGTGTACAAGGGCACTGATCATCTTCTATGTCGTACCTTCCACCTCGTGGGAAGTGGATATATCTTCCATGTTTAAGATATATCATGCCTTCACAATAAAAACTGGACTATGGGTTTATGAACTATGATTCAGCTAGAGACTCTTGCCTTGAAGATGTTGGACCCTGTGCATCATCAGGGGCTTCAGCACTGCATGGGAGCTTTCCGCAGTCTGCAATTCCTCCTTTTGGGCTTCATATCCAGGCACAGCTGACTAAATTTGTCTGATATTGGATTATGTTGCTGAGTCTGGTAATCAGCCAATCCTGCTATGGCTCATTACCATCCCCACTTGTGACCTTCTTTGGGTCATCTAAGGAGGATGGATACTTCTGATTGGAAGTATTGTCTTCTTTTTGCTGAATCTTTTGAACCATTCTTCCATTCCTATTTTTATGGATGTTTGAAATTCAGGTGACTCTGTGGGCCCTGCCGTGGTTCGCTGTGGCTCAGTGGTTGCTTGCAGGATCCCTTCTACAGTTTCTTTGTTCACTGCCAAGTTGTATGCCATTTCTCTTGCCTTGATCACGTAGAAGCTAAGCAGTACATTAACAGTACTGTATACTCTGACTCTCTTAGCTCAATGTTGGACCTGGAATTGCTTGCTGTGAGTTCATATCCGGTTCTCTCACATATTCAGAAACAACCAGCCCACTTTTCTTTGTCAGTCATTTCTATCTTGTTTTTCTGGATACCTGGCCCTGTCACTATTTGTTGGAATGAGCTTGCTGACACTGCAATCAAATCCGTCTGCTCTGCCATTGTCACAGCCATGCCCATCCCTTATGTGGACTGTGGACATGTGATCAAGGCATGGCTTTATGCCATCTGGCAGTTGATTTGGAGTAAGCAACTTCATAACAAGCTTTTTCTGATCAAACCTACTGTTGTTGTTTAGCCATCTAGTTTTCATAACTAGACTAGGCATTGGCCACAGTTTTGTTACTCATTGCTTTTTTTTTATGTGAGACTGATCCACCAATGTGCGGCCTTTGAGACACTCAGGTCAAAATTGCCTTGTGTTGCTTTCGTACTGTCATTAAAACTATGAGCAGTGGCAGCATTTTACACATGTTATTTCTCCAGATTTACCTTTCATGTTGAACACTGTCATTGGCTATGGTGATGCTGTCTAGATTGATGGTGTTTTTAGCTTTTTACAGGCCATGGACCTATTTAATTCTATTTCTTTTTTAGTGATTTTTTGCAGTGAAACTATTACACATATTGTTATTTTTTCTACCATTTTTTTATAATTTAGTTTTTTTATTTTTGATATTTTCCTTTTTTCCTGGTCTGTTTGGCACAGAAAACCTTAGTGCTTTGCACCATAAAACACTTATCAAACAAAGAGCCTCTGTTTTGTATTTTTGCTATGGGATTTCTCTTCTTTTCATGACTTGTCTTCTTCTACCTTGACCAGTTGGTGAAACTTATGATCTGCATTTTCTATTCCTTTATGGCCAGGGTTGACTCAAACGGAATAATACTTCTCTCTCTCTCTCTCTCTCTTCCAAAATCAGCATCATGTAGGGGATAACAGAAAGCAAATTTTGCCCTCCCATTTTCTTTTAGTGGAGAGGGAGAACCTTTGCTTCTCCAGTACCAAGCTGCTGGGGAGGTAAATACGGAAAAGTTTCCCTTTAGATCAGTGTAAGCCCAGTGGTATGAGATGAGAGGAATGTATCCTTGAAGAGAATAGAGAAGGGGTCTACCTGGAAGTGTAGTATAAGCCATCCTGTACTCTAAGAACTGGATCATTCCCAGTGGTTGTGACTAGTTGACTTGGGATGCAGATAAATGGTGATTCATCCCTGCACCTGCTTATTCTTGCAAGTGTATCATGTGAATACTTCTCAGGTACTGTAAGGTTTGACTTATTACCACAACCATACTACATATATATGGTCTGCCAACCTCATGAGATATATATAGATGGTTGTGCAGCCGTCACATTCACTCACTTTTACAACACTTTAACACTACGTAGAAGGTTCTTTTGACAATACTTTTCTGCACTACCACTTGTATTAGGCATAGTGTATTCCCTACTTGAGATGAATGCAGTCTCCCACTAAGCGATGCTCCTAATAGCCCCCCCTACACACACACACCGATCACTATATTTTATGAAAGTGCCCAACTTTTTAATTTTTTCATCCATACCACTACCTCCACTATCTTTTCAATGTGGAATTCTATTCTTGCTATTTGTTCCATGGAGGGGTGAGTAGCATTTCTGCAGTTAACATTTTCTTTACCCAATAATGTATTTCAGGTAGATACCTTCCCACAAAACCACTGACCCTTCCTCCCCACTTTCTGTGTGTCTCTTTTGCTTCATCAAGAATAAGTGTTTGGTATACACAAAGTGCTCAAGGGGAGCACTCTACAAGGATGTGTTGCCCTCCTGTTGGTGGAGGGTTATAGTATAATGCTGATTACATCATAAGCTGATACAGTACATGTTATTAAGTGTAGTGGTGATAATTTCATTCAAAGGCATGGTGCATGCATAAAACTTTTCGATAGTGGCACAATGTGTTAACTACCTTCTGTGGAGAGATGAGTATCTATATGAAATATATTTTTAGGTAAAAAATATGCTAATACTTAGTGAAAGGATTGTTGATTATAAATATGGTAATACAATGTGGTATGTACCATTACAGTTAGTCAAGAGAATATAAGAAGTAGTGTGGTATGTACCAGTCGTGACACTCCATGGAGTATGTTCCAAAACAGCAATACTTAAGTTTTTTGTAATTATAAGTATAGCAAGACAATGTGGGATGTACAAAAATAATTACTCCATGTAGTATTTTAGGTAATACATTCTAATTTTTATATTATCTTAGATTCTGGAGCTTAATATTTCTGTTGTTCTGAGAAATGTTAAAAATTAAAGTCCAAGTAGAAGGCTATTTGTAGGTGAAACACAACCGTCCAGTGAGTTCATAGCATTTATATGTCTTATAATGTCTTTTCAGGTCAGCCAGGGTCACTCTGAGGAATTGATTCAAGTTGTACAAAGCCATGGAGCTCCTACAGTCTCCCAGGCTCCTGAACAGCCTGCTTTTGTAGCTATGCAACCAGGAGCAACTACTGAAGCTCATGTGGATGCTGGTCAGCAGGTTAGTTGTTTTGAGATGTATTTAACTACAGGCACAGCAAAAATTATTTCTGTAGGACAAAATGGTGTTAATTTATAGTCAATTAATCAAAATCAAAACTACATGTAAAAAACAGCTTTAACAGAAATTACCCTGTTGTGGTATCTCAAGGATTTCCAGCAAAGCAAAGAAGCCAGAGCACACAAAAACAAGAGGTTCATGGATCTAATATGTGGGTGTGTTTTCTGACATATGCAATGGTTGAGCCACAAAGAATGAGACATGACACAGGTTTACACAAGGAACAAATATTTAATGAAGATCTTCACAGTTTACAATGTAAAAAACAATGCACTGTGATACAATGAAAGGCAAGTGATTTTGTGTTTGTATATGTGACTAAAAAGGGTGTGTGACTAGCAAGGGCAATGAAGACTTTATTAAACAAAATGTTCTTGTTAGTGAATGTTCTTCGCCTTGTAACTTAGGCTACCTCATAAAATAGAATCAGTAATAGAGAGTGTTCCCACGTTAAAATTTAACATGATAAAGTTAATCCTCACTTTAACCTCTGCAAAATTGAAATTCCCACTCAGATTTCACCACAAGGATAATAATCCATACTTTAACCCTATAACTTTCTGGGCCATTTTTATATTCCTTTCTGCATTAGTACTGTGTTACATTCAAAATTTAATTAAACCACTTTACTATCAATGAATCTTAGTTAATTTATCATTTTCAAGTACGTTATAGTTCAAAGTATTATAGTATCTAAGTTTTTTCCTTTATTTCAAAAGAAACATCTAAAACAACAATTAAAAACTGTAGTTTTTACTGTTTCATGTTACAGTTTTTCTCAACTTTAAGAGCTAGTATAAAAGAAACTGTGTATGTGAATTATAGACTCTATCCTTCAGATGTCAAAAGTGCACCATATACAAGTTGTTTATTAGTAACTCAAGCACATTCCAAGAATTTCACCCCAGGATACCATTGTAAATATTTCCTTAGTTTAAAATAAGCCATGCCCACTTGCAGTGTAGAAGCTGTGTTGCTAAGCAACAATTTTAAGTTAAATGGCATGCTTGCAATCAACAAAAAGAGCAGATTTCACGTTGTCTGGCGTAATAAGTCGAGTGCAAACCAAACTATATCTTGATGGAGGCTAAACCATCTCTGTCGATGTTAATGTTATATAGCGTGAGGGCAGTTGTTGATGTGTGTGTTAACATAAATAATAAAAAATAAAGAGCAGGAAGATATAAAGTGAAATATTTAGTGAAAATATAAAAATGTGAAATTACACATATGACCAAAGATATTCTACAAAGGTAAGTACATATTTCCATTTCTTAATTTTAAACATTTCATTGCACTGTGCATTGATGATAATAGCTAGAGTTAGTGATATAGTAGAGAAAATGGAAAATAAAATATAACATTTACCTCAGAAACTTTTGATATTCATTTAGGAAGTTGTATAGATTATGCAAATGAAATGTGAAAACTGTAAGATAATAAACTCTCAAGTTTCTGACACAAGAAAATAGTGTTTGGTGCCTGTTTGATCAGTTGGCCAATGAGCAATGAAGATCATTAACAAGTCCACTCACAACTACTACCCAAATTGCTGATAAGAATAACTCAGCATGCTAATTATAAAGCACATTTTTTTTCGTCCAAAAGAATCAGACAAGAAGGCACCTAATCTTCACTTAACACAGTAACTTACCTCCGCTTACAGATATAGCTATTGTTGTTCAGTGCTGCCGGCAACATACAAAACTTTGTTTGCATGCCACAAGCTTTGAGCTCCCACGTACTCCACGATCAACATGGTTCAACTGTGTCTTGCATGTAAATTATCATGTGACAACTCTCCACCAATACGAGTGCAACACACTCTCCTGACATGTGACTCCTTCTATTCGATTCTACCGAAATATCACTTCTTATTTGGCAGTGCTTTCATCGTGATGTTTTTTGTTAGTGCTCTCTTCCTGTGTTTTATTTTTGAAATATCATACGAAATGGAAATATTTCTCTATGTTTTTTTCTTCCCCAACTTCACTTTAACCATTTTAGGTGATCACTTTATTGTTCTTAACATTGTTTTTTTGGTTTTCACTGAAGTTTATGTTTTCACTTCGAAAGTGATCTAATTTACTTCCAGCACACTTACAGCTTCAGATGGCAGTACTCAAAGGTGGAATTGTCAGCTTTCATACCTTGGGAGATTGATCATTATATGAGGCGACCTTCATCAGGCCTCGAGTTTTGACTATGGTCTGCCAACTTTGGACAGATAAGCTGTTACACTGCTACAGATTTTGAATGTTTTTTGACCTCAATGTTATTATTTGTTGTTATTTAGGTTCAATAACTTAAGTTTAGTTTGATTTGTAAATACTTAATATAAGGTTAGAGTTTTCAATTCGAGCTTAGTGATATCCTTTGTACTACTACTTTGTTATTTTAGGCTTACCTGTCATTAATTTTCCAGATAAATCATAATTTAGGTTAATTATGTATTTTTCAACAAACACCTTGTAATAAATTTTTTATTGTCAGTATACACACACTTAATTTTACAATATAAAGACTATTTCATTTTCTTTATTTCTTATTTTTTTACTTAAAATTAATTTGGTTTGTGAAGACCCCTAGGGCCAGAGTCAACTCAACCTTCTCCTAATATTGCTTGCCTTCCTCCTAAAACTGCCTAACCTGTTAGGGATGATGTAAATTTGAAAATTTTTCGTCCATCTGATTATGCTTTGCTTCCCAGACTTCTCCTGCAAAGTCTGCTAGGCCTACCTTAGCCTTTTTTTAGACACGTTTCACGGATATTTTTTTCCACTCCTTCTCCAAACATTATAGTTCATGCTGGGCTTTGTGTCTCTTTTGAGAGAGGGTGCTTACATGCCTTACCCTCAATGGGTTTTGGTTCATTTTACCTTAGCTTACCATAAGGCAGAATGTTTTTGTTTTCTTTATTCTCTGCACTTAGAATTTCTGTTGTCTGTATGGGGGGTAGACCCTGATAAGCCTATCTTTTTATCTCTCACCAATTTTTCAGCCTTTGTCTTCCTCTATCGACTCTTCTGCAGGAATTGTTCACTGTGAACCTCCTTTCTGAGGTTTTCCACCTAATTCTTGGGGATTTGCATGGGATACCTTCCTTCTCCTTACCTCCACGTTGTGGTGATTACCATCTTTGGCTGTTTCGTTGCTTTTGGGATTTTATGGGATGGGACACTGTCTTGTACCAAGTTTAGTTACTGTTCACTTCTGCTTTGGACTTCTGCCAGCTCTTTTTCGCTACTGGACCGTTTTTTGGGGGTTACATGGGTTACTTTAGCGTCACGTGGAGTATCTGTGATGCTTCATTAGATATTTTTCTGTTTTTGGTTGCTCATTTGTCACATTCTGAGCCATTACATTCTTTATTCATGTTCCATGTTTGGCACCTTCCCATCATTTACCTGTCCTACCTCTAAGAGTTCCTCTGTTAGTCGTGTATTCTTGATGCCGATTGGAGTTCTGTGATCGAACTGTCCTGCCTCAATCACTTATTGATTCTTTACCATTTTACTATATTATTGTTTATAAAACTCTGTTGGGCCATTTTTCCAAGACTGGAAATGCCCAAAGTAGACATTTTGTATTCTTATATTTGTATTCCTATTTTTCTTCCTTTGTGATGTTATCTTAAGTTTGTTCACCATGGGGTTGGGTACAAGTTTCACATCTTACCATTTGCCATTTTTTTGGATCCATCAGTCATCGGGTGGTCAGTTTTACCTGTTTTCAGCTTGATGGGGGATTGTACTTATACCACAACTTGGTCAGCTGGCTTCTGTTAGCTCATTCCGTACTGGAGTTGCACAACATACTCACCTGCTTCTCTCCCCTTCTTGGATGATTGGATTTTCCATTACCTACCTAACATTCTTGTCTTTTGGGGATGCATTTTTCAACTCCATCGGTCCCATACTTCTCCTCTTCAACTGCTTATGATAGAGCTTTTCAGTTATCCATGCCATTACTGTTAACTCTCTTACTGCTAGAGAGGTTCTATCACGTTGGGGGATGTAGCTTCTATGGAAGCACTTATACCCTTGGGTCTGACACATGCAATCTCTTCAGGGGATGCTGCACAAACCATGGAATCTTGATAGGGTTCCTTTGGATTCCCTGCATAACTCTCCTTCTTCCCTCTTCAAAATATGCATTGGCAGTTGAAAAAAGTCCCCACATCATTGAGACTGCTTCATCCCCTTTGTCCAGATGTTCTTTCTCTTCCCTGATGCTCACCTCCAAAATTAGGAGGTGTGGGTCAATCAGCATGAGGCTTCAAGACAGTAGTATATGGCCAACAGGTCTTACCATGTTCACACCCGGGAACTTCTGGCAGTCCAATGTGCTTTGGTTCACTTTCTTTCTCTTGTCAGGATTCAACTAATCATGATCTATTCCAAGAATTTGATGGTGGTGACTTATATCACTTACCGAGAGGGCACCCATTCTAGTTCCCTTTGTGGTTTACCATTGATCTCTCTTTTTGAACCTATACACTTGATGTATGTCTTTTATGGTATTTTCAACCTCCTTGCAAAACCCTTTCTAGTCTGGACACACTTTATCCCACTGAGTGGTCTCTCAAACCTCAAAAATTTCTGGTGGCTCTGACTCCAGTGGAGTATTCCTCAGTGGGATGTGTTTGCCTCTTTTCTCAATTCCAAGTTCCCTCTTTTTTTTTTGGTCTCTAGTTTCTTATCCACTCACTTTGGCTGTCTGTACATTTAGAAAGGATTGGTGCAAGTTTATACCTTTATTTTATCATCCCGCCCATCATCTTCCCCATAAGATTTCATTAATCCATGCCACTCTATTTCAAGTCTTTCTGATTGCTCCTTCCTGGCTGGCACAGATCTGGTTTTCTCGACTGATTTAGCTTGACCCATTCTTTTTGTTCTGAATCGATTTTTCCTAACCTACACTTTGGTGACTCTTGT